CACGTGTGCACCGACACACCACTTGTCAAGCCATACTGTGACGGCATCCCATGTAAAGTAGAGGAAGATGGGCACGGATGTTAGCCCAGGGCCAGTCTTCCTCAGCAGAAAAAAAACAAGAGGATTGGCGACAGATGTTAGCTCAGGGCTGATCTTTCTCACCCCCCCAAATAAAAGTTCTACAGGATAACTTAGCAATTTACTCAAGAAATTATCTGTATAACTCTTCCTTTCCAACTATTTCTATAGATCGATAGGAAAGTTTGTCAATGACTCAGCCAAATCTCTAGAAGTCATTATAACCCATCTCTGACCCTGTGTATCCTCTTCTCACTGCACTATTGAGATATAGGGAAATCTAGGTCAGTGGTAATAGATGGCATTTAATATCATTCTAAATATTTTGCAAATCTGAATTTTTTTTCAGGAAAATCTTAGAAGATTTACTCATCATCACCATTATCATCAATAATAATACCTTACATCCTAGAGTGCATTATACTTTTCAAAGTTACACATATTCTTCAATTTCCTATTTAAGTTTCACTCATCAAGACTTCCAAAGGAAACAAAGATAAAAGGGGGGCGGAGATACTGATAAAGACCAAAAAGCCTATAGAGGTGATGAAAAGAGGGTAAAAAAAAAAAAGAGAGTGAAAAAAAATCATTAGCAAGGGGTAAAAAAGTTTTAGATGTAGGCAGGAAAACTATAAACAGAGAAATCTTGTACTAGCCTTAAATAATATTCGCTTAAGATAATTTCACTAAGTTTAGAAAAATAGCTATCTTCTATTTACTGCTTCTTCTTGTTTGTGCTTTGTTATCTAGAATTATACTTTAATTCCTCAAAATCTAAACTTGCGTTGAACTGATTAAGAGGTGTATTAGCAGGCCAGCCCTGGTGGCCTACTAGTTAAGTTCGGCATGCTCCACTTCAGTGGCCCAGGAGTGGTTCCTGGGCGCAGACCTATAGCACTCGTCTGTCAGTGGCCATGCTGTGGTAGTGGCTCACATGAAAAAGAGGAAGATCAGCAGCAGATGTTAGCTTAGGGAGAATCTTCCTCAGGAAAAAAAAAGAAAGTGTATTAGCTTTCTATCATTGCCATAAAAAATTATAACACACGTAATGGCTTAAAACAACAGAAATTTATCATCTTATAGTTCTGTAGTTCAGAATCCAACATGGGTCTCATTGGGCTAAAATCAAGGTGTCAGCAGGGATGCATTTGTTCTGGAAGCTCTAGGGGAGAATCTCTTTCCTTACCTTTTCCAGCTTCCAGAGGCCACTCACATTCCTTGGCTCATGGCCCCTTTCCTCCATCTTCAAAGCCGGCAATGTTGCATCTCTCTGCTCCTGCTTCTATTGTCACATCTCTTTCTTTGACTATTTTTCTTATGGCTCCCTCATCATTTTAAGGACCCTTGTGGTTACATTGAGCCCACCTAGTAATCCAGGATAATATCCCACTTTAGGGTCATTAACTTAATAATACGTGCAAAGTCCCTTTTGCCACGTAAGGTAACATATTTAGAGGTTCTGAGGATTAGGATATAGACATCTTACCACATAAGGTTATATTAAAATTCTGTTCTCTGACCACTATCTCCTATATCTCCAGTGCATCCCTCTCATACCCTGATTCTACAATCCTTTGAGCCCTTGTGGGACCTTCAGTTTATCGAGTCGACCACTTTTTCACTGTCATTTCCTAAATGTCCTCTCTTCCCTCCTTATCAAACTAAATTCCATGGGTTATCATTACAATCCCTCCTTTACACACTTCCTCTACTCCCTTGCCCCTCTCTTGTCATTCTCACTTGGCAAAACCCCACCTCTGATGACTCCAACTCTCCCTCTAATCTGTTTTTGTCATTGTGTAGCCGAACATGGCCAGAGGAAAACACAGCCTTGCTGACCAGTCTCCTCTTAAGTTTCATACCATGAACTTCAAATGGGCCTTTGATGCTGCCTTGTAACGACATGCTATTTTCCTAATCCCTTCACTTTCTCACTTTCCTAGAAGACTACTTCATGCCTTCTCCTATCTTCTCAGACCTCTTGCATCTACTTCTCCATCTGCACTCTTGGCTCATGACTTGACTCTTTCTTCACTGAGAAATGCAAAGCAAGCAGAAGAGAGCCCTGGAGATTCCCACCTATCTCTCCACAGGTCAGCTTCTGTGTCCTCACACTCTGTCTTCCTCCTAATGGATCTTTGGACTAAATCTAAGTGACCATGATCTAGCATGCAGAAATGCGTCTTTATTTCTAATAACTCTTAGCTGATATCTAGCATTTCCTTCAACTGTGAATGTAGGTAGTAAACCACAGTAGCATTAACAATACCTATGCTTTTGTCACCAGTAGACATCAGAAATATGTTTATATCATGAAACAGTTTTTGCAGTATCTCAGAATATTGTACACACACGTATCACTACTTTGAAATTATGGTAGTTAGGCCCAGTGCTAGATCTTATGATTTGTAGCATTAATAAAGAAGCACATGCATTAAAGTATTACAGATTTGATTTCAAAAATTTTTGATAATTGTATTTCAATATAACTAGTTTTCTTTGTATGCCTATGTATTTTATGCATTCAAAAAACATTATTTTGAGAAGTGTCCATAAGTTTCACCTATCAAAGGATTCATGGCATAAAATAGGATTAAGAACCCCTCCTAAAGTGAAATAAGTCAGAGGGAGAAGGTCAAATACCGCATGATTTCCTTCATTAAGTAGTAGATAATAACAACAATAAACAAACACATAGGGACAGAGATTGGATTGGTGGTTACCAGAGGGGAAGGGGGGAGGGAGGAGGGTGAAAGGGATAATTCGGTACATGTGTGTGGTGATGGGTTGTAATTAGTATTTTGGTGGTGAACATGATGTAATCTATGCAGAAATAGAAGTACAATGATGTACACCTGAAATTTTTACAATGTTATAAACCAATGTTACTGCAATAAACAAAAAATTAAAAAAAAAAAAAAAAAAAAACCCCCCCTCCTATAGAGGCACTGTCCATGCTCCTACCTAAGGCCAGTACGTCCTCTATTTGTGCCCTAGATCCCATCTCCTCTCACCCACTGCGTCAGATGTCCTCCTTTTGCCCCTCCGGATCTGCGCTCTACATTCTGCTCCTTGCTCTGGGCCCTGGAGCTGATGTCTGTGGACAGCATCGACCAGGTTTCCTTGTATTCTGGCTTCTGCTTGGGTTCATACAATGGAAGGCACCAGCAGGACATAGAAAGGTGGGAGGAGGGAGAAGTTGGATGTTCATCCACAATTCCTCCCCACAGCTTTGGGTTGGCGGAAGTTCGGTTCCAGCTTCGGTTGCGTAACCCTTTCCTATCACCAAAGGTACCTCTCTGGATTCAGATAACTAGCGGATTCTGATTTACCATCTCTTGGGAGCTTCCCATAAGTCAGCCCTTCCTTCCTTAGTAATTTCTTTGGTCTCCCTGTTTTGAGTGTGCCATCTGCTTCCTGCCTGGACGCTGACTGCTACACAGACTCAAGGTAATGGCCTCAGCATCTCTCCCTTCTCTAAGTTCATTGCCATCAAGAAAGCCTACTTTCAACTCAGTGCCCCCAATGGCTATCACTTCCTCGACAGCCAGACTCACTGTCTCCAATCCTCTCCTCTAGATCACTCTCCAACACACTCCCGTTGGGCCTTTACCTCCACCCCACTGAAACTGCTCCTCAAGGTGACCAATGATCTTCATGTTGCTAAACCCAGTGATCATTCTCAGTTCAGTACTCATCTTCACAGATCTGCTGGCAGCATTTAACACAGTTGATCACTCCTCCTCCTTGATGTTTTCCATTTGGCTTCTAAGACCCCAAGGGATTTTCCTTCTAATTCACCCTTTGCTCCCTCTCAGTGTTGTCTGCTGTTCTTCGTCTTCCAGGGCTCAGTCTTTTAGCCTTTTTTTCTTTTTTTTTTTTTTTTAACGATACTGATTCCATTAATAATTTAAAAAGGAACACTCTCTAATCTCTTTCTAACATGTAGTTCACTAATTTGTCATGTTTATTAACTATTGTGTCTCTCCCCCAACCAGAACATAAGCTCCCAAGCCTAAGGATTTTTGTTTATTTGGTTCTTGGGTGTTTTACCAAGTGTCTAGAACAGTGCCTGGCATATAAATTTTTGTTGGATTTAATTGAATGCTCACTATTGCCCTTCATATATACAAAGTAATAACTGTGACTTTTTCCCTCTAAAAAAGTGAAGCCACACGGGGCTGGCCCGGTGACGTAGCAGTTAAGTTCGCACACTCCGCTTCAGCAGCAGCCCGGGGTTCACAGGTTTGCATCTCAGGCACGGACCTACGCACCGCTTGTCAAGCCATGCTGTGGCGGCGTCCCATATAAAGTGGAGGAAGATGGGCATGGATGTTAGCCCAGGGCCAATCTTCCTCAGCAAAAAAAAAGAGGAGGATTGGCAACAGATGTTAGCTCAGGGCTAATCTTTCTCAAAAAAAAAAAAAAACAAAAACGTGAAGCCATAAAGCAACAAAAACAAAAATCTAATCTTACAGTGGGAATATTCATCCTAAACATAAAGGCAACAAAAATGACCTCAGCAAAATCAGTAAGTATGACAGCAAATAAAGTTTAACCTTCAGTACATTAAAAAACATAAAAGTAAAAGTCAAACTTCAAATTTAAAATTAAATTGCAACATATCTGAAAGACATGGAATTATATACCTAATATATAATGATTTCTTACAAATCAATAAAAGAAAAGATTATACAAGTCAAAAAAATGGGTGAAAGACATGGAAAAATAATTCTCGAAAGGAATAAAACTGGCCAAAAAATATATAAGCCAGCCATCAGTCTCACTGCAAATTCACACCACGATGATATGTCCTTTTTGCTAAAAAAGGAAATTCTGCTTTAAATAACCTCTGATCCAATAATCCTACTTCTAGGACCTTATCCCAAATAATTAGTATGCTGTACAAATACATGTGCCTCAGGATGTTTATTGCAGCAATAGTTATGAAAACAACCTAAAATTCCCACAATAAAGACAGGCTTAAATAAAGTACAGAACAGTCATACCATGGAATACCTTACAGCTGTTCAAAATCACATTTTTGCAGAATACTCAGTGATATGGGAAAATGCTTAAGCCATAAAGTTCAAGTTTAAAAAAACCCAAGATATAAAACTGTGCTTGGTGCAGGATTCCAAAATTTCAAATAAAAATACACATAGATACATATATACATATACCACAAATCGAAAAATGACTAAAAGAAAAATATATAAATGTTGACGCTTGTTACTTTTACGCAGTGGAATTAGAAGAGATTTTATTTTCTCATTTAAAATTTTCTGTATTTTCCAATTTTCCCCAAATTATCAGGTATTGCTTTCACATTAGAAAAATAAATAAATGTTAATAATAATATAAAAGTGAGATCAAAGGGGTTCCAAAAGATACAAACATAGACACCAAATGTGCTTTTTTGTTTTATAAATGGGTAAATCTTCCAGCTAAAAAGTTTTTATTTCCGGTAGAAGCAGTAGTTGTATTTTTTCCTTGACCAGATTTGGAGGGAGGATCCACTGCAACATATTTGATTTGGAACCCTCCTGCTGTCACTGAAGCGTCGCTCAGAAACTTCAAAGTCATGACGTTTCCTGGGGAGGAGGAGAGCGCAAAAGAACAACATTACTTTCCTTCAATTTGAATTTGACTGACCATTCAGACTCATCATTCTCAGAAGAGAATATAAAAATTCATGAATAAGACTCCCAGAATTCAGAGCTGGACTCTCAGGCTGTAGATTCTGTGGTTTCATTGCCGGGGGTAGCAAGGTGAGGGACTTGCATGTTTTTCCCTCTGGCCCTCCAATCTCTCCTGTAGGAAATTTCATCTATTGTTTTAAAATGTGTTCATTATGGAAGGAACATCCACAGAATTACAGGACAATGGCAGGCGGTTCAAACCAGTGAGGTGTGGATGGATTATTGACTAAATGGTAGCAGGGCAACAAGCTTTACATTTGTAAGAAACAAAGCCACCAAGTTACATCCCTACTTTATACAGAGTTCCCAACTACATTTTACCAGCATTAAAGACCAGAATGTGCTAAAAATTAAAAGGAAAGACCTTATTGTATAAAATAAAATATAGGAATATTTTTCTTTTTCAGGAGGGAAAAGCCTTCTTAATCCACATCACAAATCCAGAATTCATTACAAAAAACCCCATATATATTGAACGCTAATGTTTGACAAGTACAACTTTAAGTACCTTTCATCTATGAACTCATTTATTCCCCACAGCTACACTATGAGGTGGATACTATTAAAATATTTATTTTATAGAAGAAATGGAGGCACAGAGAGCCTAAGTAGCTTGCCCAAGGCCACAGAGTTATAGTGGCAGTACCAGGTTTGAGCTTGGGCAGTCAGCCTCCAGAGTTCATGCTGTGATCCACTACACTTTTCTCAGACTAGGATTGAATTGCCTAAACTTAAAAAAAATAAAAATTTTTTTTTTTGCAGATTATTCAGCTGGTTAAAATACAAATCAGGGGCTGGCCCCGTGGCTCAGCGGTTGAGTGCGTGCACTCCGCTACAGGCGGCCTGGGTTCAGATCCTGGGCACGCACCGATGCACTGCTTGTCCGGCCATGCTGAGGCGGTGTCCCACATACAGCAGCTAGCAGGATGTGCAACTACAACATACAACTATCTACTGGGGCTTTGGGAAGAAAAAGGGAAAAAAGGGAGGAGGATTAGCAATAGATGTTAGCTCAGGGCCAGTCTTCCTCAGCAAAAAGAGGAGGATTGACATGGATGTTAGCTCAGGGCTGATCTTC